CTGGGCTCCAGGATCCCCTACGAGAGGCTGTGACCAGCAGGAGAGGCTTCCCCACTCCAGCAAGGATCTGAACAGCGACCTGAGAAGTTCCCAGCTCGGCTTCCAGCTCCTCCAGTCAGAGACCAGGCAGCTCAACGTGAGGCCGGGGCGCCAGGGAGGTCAAGATCCCTAGCAGCTTGGAGCAGTACCAGCACTGGTGGCTGTGTGGCAGTGTTTCTGCTTACCACGTGGGAGATCTGAGTTCAAGCTTTGGTTCCAGCTTTGGTGACTTGGGGTGAGCGAGCTAATAAGGAACAATTCCTTCTGCAGTGGAAAGGGGCCATTGTGTTTTCCCCTTCCAGGTACCTAGGCCCTATATTTCTTTGTCCTTTTACATTTTGTATTTTTTTGCCTTTTTATATTTCACCAACCAGTATTGTTTGCTCTGTTGTTTGTATTTCATATTTTGTTAACCCTGTCTTTTGTCAGTGATTGTAAGTGTCTAACCTTTGTTGAATCCTGCCCCTTGGGGCATTGTAGTGTCCACTATACCCCCTGATTATGCCTGTTATGTTCCCAGTATTGTTCCCTCATTAAAAGGTATATGGTTAAGTCCCCAGTGGTGGTCTGGCTCTGCTCTATAGGGGGAGGAGAGTCCCTACACCTCCCACAGTGCTTGTGCACCTGCTTTGATCCCTTCAATTGGAGAGGGGGTACCTTTTGGAGTACCGCCCGGGTTACACGCTTATGATGTGACTCCACTGTACGTTACTGGTGCGGGAAATCAGGTCAGATTTCCAGGGAATGCACCCTAGGCCCGCAAGAAAGGTGGAAATCGGTGGGAGAGAGTACAGGGCTGAAAGAATGACTTGAAGTGAGCAAACCCATTGAAAAGATGGATTGTAGCTTCAGATGCACTGAAGAAATAGCAGTGTGAAATAGACCCATGGTGACAACTTGGGTAGCAGGAAAACCAATCCAGGCAACCCTAGATACAGACTGTTCCCAGACCCTAGTCAGGGCTGGGCTAATACCTAGGTATGTCATTGGTTGGTGCTGAACTGTGAGCATGTGCTGTATCCATGGAAAAGCTGAACAGTACGAAAGAGGCTTTGTTGATGTAAGGATCGCCAACCACAAGGGTAGGATGCAAGTGGGATTTGCACCTGAATTGGATGGTCAAATGGTCGTAGGGCAAGACTGGCCACTGCTGTTTTAGAGAAAGTCCAGAGGGATGAATTGAGACGGAAAGGCTGGCCCTGGGTTGAGGGTTGGATAGCCGAAGAAGAAGCAACTTCCTTAGGAGAAGACAACTTGATAAATCTCAGGACTGGTGCCATGGGACAAGAAGACAAGGAGTTCCAGAGGATTCAGGAGGAGGAAGTGGCTCATGTCGAAGACAAAGTAGCCCGACCAGAACTTGGTGTAAGTGACCCTCATTTTGAGATACATAATGGCTTATTGTACAGGGTTAGGAAGTGCCCAGTCCAGGGTGAATGGATCCGGCAGTTAATGGTGTCCCATATTTTCTGTAGCTGGGTGTGGGGATTGGCACACACCACTCCCATGGGAGGCCATTTCAGGAGAGAGAAGACATTCACCAAGATCGAGCAATGGTTTTTTTGGTCAGGTATGAGGGAGGAAGTCAACATAACAGTGTGAGGCCTGCCCGGAATGTCAAAGGGTCCAAGAAAGGTGGCCACCACACGCACCATTACAGGTGATGCCTCTTATTGACAATCCCTTTGATAGAATAGCATTAGATATCATGGGTCCCCTTATGAAGAGCTGTGCCGGATACCAGTATATATGGGTCATAGTATACTACGCAACACGTTACCCAGAGGCAATACCCTTAAGGTTGGCGATGGCTCTCCAAATTGTGGAGGAACTACTGAAGTGGATATCCCAGGTGGGAGTCTCAAAATAAATAATTATGGATCAAGGTATGAACTTTATGTCCAGGATTATTAAAGCCATGTGTCAAGTATTGAAAATACTGCAGTTGTGTACATCTGTTTATCATCCACAGACCAATGGTCTGGTGGAATGCCTAAATGGGACAATCAAACAGTTATTACAAGGGGAACCATCATCCGAGAAAGATGGAGGCCCATTCCTCATCATCTACAAGCTAGAGTATATCAGGAAATACAAAAAATGCTAACACAAGGGGTCATTGTACCCTCTCGCAGTCCATGGTGGAGTCCTATGATAATAGTACCCAGAACTGATGGGTCTCTACAAATATGCATAGACTTCAGGAGAGTTAATGAAATTGCTAGATTTGATGCATTCTCTATGCCACATGTAGAGGAACTTCTGGAGAGAACAGGCCAAGCTCGTTATATTTCTACAATCCATCTGTTAAAAGGGTACTGGCAAATACCCATGGCTGCCAAGGACCAACAGAAAACCGCTTTCAGTACACCCTGGGGTTTATTTGAATTTACGAGGATGCCGTTTGGCCTTCATGGTGCTGTGGCTACGTTTCAGTGCCTCATGGACTGCATTCTTGCCCAGGATACGATGTATGCTGCCACCTAGATTGACAACATCATTATCTACTCACAATCCTGGGTTCACCATTTGTGACATTTGAAAACGATGCTGTGAGAGCTTTGCCAGTTAGAGATGACAGCCAACCCCAAGAAGTGCTCACTATGGATGCAAGAAACCAATTTACTTAGGATTTAGGGTTGGACAGGGAGTCATACGGCCTTTGGCCGGCAAGTTAGCTACGATAGAAAACTATTTACAACCCCAGACCAAGAGCCAGATGAGATCATTCCTGGGTTTGGCTAACTATTACAGAAGATTTATTCCCTGTTTTGCAGAAAAAGCACCAGCATTAATGGACACAATAAGAGGAAAGGTCCAGGGTTCAGTAAGGTGGCCTCCCCAAATGGAAGGAGCCTTTAAGGCCATCAAAAGAGCCCTGTGTAATGATGTGGTAGTTGTAACGCCTGACTTTTCTAAAATTTTTATCCTGCAGATGGATGTATCCGAAACTGCCATAGGAGCGGTGTTGTGTCAGGACCAAGAGGGAGTCGAGCGACCGATTGCCTTTGCTAGTAAAAAATTAAATACCACCGAAACAAGGTATTCTACTATTGAGAGGGAGTGTCTAGCGATAAAGTGGGCAATAAAGTACTTCCAGTATTATTAAATGGGAAGAGAATTTAAACTAGTCACTGATCATGCTCCTTTACAATGGCTAAATAAGTCCAAACATGATAATGCGCGAATCATGCGCTGGGCATTGTCTCTACAGCCTTTTAAATTCTGCGTCCGTTATAGGCCTGGAGTGACCAATAAAGTTGCGGATTTTTTATCAAGGTATAATGAAAATGAGGTGGCAATGACGGATCCATGCAAGACCACTACCAAAATTATTGATGATCAGAACCAAAAACCTGTTTTGCCCCAAGGCAACTTAAGCCGGGGGATGTATGGTAGGAAAGACTTACCCTGGCAGGGCGAGGAGCAGAGCCAGCGGGATGCCATGCCAGAATAGAAGTGCAGAAAAGTGAAACCGCAGCAGAAGATGCTGCGGTAAAAGAAAAAAAGGAAAAAAAATGGCAGAGCTGGGAGGAGGCGGGAGTGGCTCCCGTGTCAGTGTGGGCATGCTTTATGGCAGCATGCTAGGGCCGATTTTCTGGCCAGCCCCCTGAGACCGAGATAAAAGGCCCGGTGGAAGAACAGCTGGAGGAGCCAGAAGTGAGTTCCCCAACGCGCCGAGAGCAGCCGGTTACAGAACAGAGCCCCACGGGAGAGACATGGTAGCTGCCCCAGGAAGGGGCTTTCCAAGATAGGCAGAGCCAGATAAGGCTCAGGGACTTACCTGAAGAAGCACCATGGATGTCAGACATCTTCATCATTTGGACTGAAAACTTACAATCTCTAATTGATTTCCATCAGAAATTCAGCAAGCATCACCTCTCCATCATACTGTCTCTGGAATACTCCAACACCAACCTTTCCTTTTTAGACATGATGGTCACTATCCGGAATGGTAAAAGACAGACATCAGATACAAGAAACCCACAGACCAACACACATATCTGAACAGAACCAGCAGTCACTCTAAACACACCAAGAAATCTGTAATGTACAGCCAGGCCTTCCAATACCACCAAATTTGCACTGAGGAGAACACCTGGGATCGTAACCTCACAAATCTCAAAAGGACCTTCACTCAAGAAGGACACTCCTCCAGAAAGATAGATTGCACTTTTGAAAGAGCCACCCAGATACCATGTGAAGAATTGCTGCAGTACAGAAGAGAACCCCCCCCATGAATCTCACACCACTGGTTATGACATATCATCCCTCCCTGGAACCTATACGGAAAATCCTAAAATAATTGCAACCTATACTAGAAGATGACCCAATTTTTAAAGCAATCTTCCCAGAAGCACCCATCCTAGCCTTCAAACAAGCACCAAACCTCACCAACCTCATCACCAGAAGCAAACTTCCTACAGCCCAAAACACACCAAATGGATCCAGGCTATGCCATGACAAGAAATGTAAAATCTACCAACACATTTCCACCACGCCCACAATTACTACATCCTACAACAGAACCATCACCATTCCTGTATCTTATGCCTGCACCTCCAGAAATCTAATATATCTCATCCAATGCACCAAATGCTCTGATGGGAAATACGTAGGAGAAATCAACTGCGTACCAGAATGAATGCACGTCGAAAATCTATCAGAGACAAGAATATCTCTTGACATACTTCTCACAAGAAAACCACTCTCTCTCCAATCTCTCAGTTCTAATCCTCAAAGGGAATTTACAAAACACCTTTCACAGACAAACTTATGAACTTCACTTCATCAGTCTACTGGATACAAAAAATCATGGACTAAATATAGACATTGGATTTATGACACATTATAACACATTATAACCTGCCTAATGTCTGACTCCTCAGGTAAACCCTCCACTTTGTACCACTTTATACCTTCCCCTACCCTCCTGTCTCTAATTCCCTTTCTAACATTCATTCCTCTCTCTCTACATTCATTCTCTTTCTCACACCACCCCCATATGTCTCTCACCTATTGGCCACCTCCATTTACAGTTTAACTGACTGGCTTTCTTGCATACTCCATCCAGGAAGAGCACAGACTATCTGCAGACACTTCCTCTGCCTGACAAAGGGTAATTGTACCCAAAAGCTTATAAAGAAGTATTTTTCCAACTACTTGAGTTGGTCTAATAAAAGATATCAGATTTACCCAAATAACCTTGTCTGCCTATGTCCTTAGACCAACACGGCTACAACCTACACCTCTAAAGGGGAGCACCTTCATTAACTTGTGTCAGCCCACACCAGGAGCAGGGCTTGCCTGACACAGCCCAACCCTGCTCCCGGCTCTGTCTTCAGAATGGGAGGGGGAGAAGGGATGGGAGGGAGTTCTCTCTGGGGTTTGCCCAGTCTCTGCTGGAGGGTGGGGTGAGTGGATTGGAGCCCCCACTTCCTCCCTCCCATGAAAAGCATATGCCCTAGGCAGCATAAGGTGCCCTATTTTACTCCTGCCAGTAACTGCTTCCTTTTTTTATAGACACATTGCAGTCTTTTTTTTTTCAGTCTGCAGTCTCAAGAGTATGTGATCATATCCACCTGATCTGAACACCCTAGGAGTCCTGGGGGGTGTCAAAGTGTGGATACTCTCTGGTCAGTATCACCTCAACCCAGGTCCAGCCTCCTGAGTGATTTGGAAATCAGACAGTCAAGGAATGTGGAAAGTGGATTGAAATGGTAATGCACTGATAGGCAAGAGAAAGAAATATTACCTAGCCCTGTGTATTCAGATGTTAGCTTGTGGTTGGATTGTTCAAAGAAAGATGAATACATGTTTTCTGGAGCACCACACTATTTATGTACCATGGCATGGCTCTACAATCGTTTGGCCTGAGAGTGAATAAAGGCTATGTGATTTCTATTTTTTTTTCCCATTCACTGGTAACCCAGAAGCAGCTTGGTCTGGTGCACAGATTCTGTACACCAGGATCTGTAAGTACAAATGGGGAATGCTAATCTTATGTCCTTATGCAGGTGGTGATCTGCAACCAATGTTCTACAGCTGCACGTACAGCAGTGTTGAATCTTGTATTTTGTAGTACTTTGTTTGTGCTGAATAAACAGTCTTTACACACCCACTGTACTTCCTGCCAGTAATGTATTTATTTCCTCTCCTGATACCCTGAGTTACTGAAGTGGAAGGGTGGGGGGAGGCAGGGTGGGGTATTCTGAGAAACTACTCCCATTTCCAAAGTACATCAGAGAGCTTTTCTGAAGTTCTTGAAGTGGTTTACAGGTGGCAAATCAAAGCGATGCCTGCTTGAAAACCAGTTTGAATCTTTCTCGTCAGTAGACAGAACCATTTTTATCATTTACTTGAGCTTACAAAAGTATGCAGCACCCACCCTGAAAGCCTCTGTGCAGGCAGTTAGCACCTCAGGCACAAACACAATTGTGAGGCCCAGGTGCTCACCTGGAAGTTAACAGGTTTCAGCTCTTCCCCATCTGCATGGAAGAAGGGAGTTCTGTCTATGGCACTGTTTGCAGTATGACTCTTTATAGCAGAGGCGGGCAATTATTTCAGGCGGTGGGCCACTTACTGAGTTTTGACAAGCCATCGAGGGCCACATGACAGGCAGCCAGGGGCAGATAACTATTCATTTTCTAACTTTTTTAGGGGCCTTGTGGGCCGGATAGAATGGCCGGGCAGGCTGCATCTGACCCGCGGGCCGCATTTTGCCCACCCCTGCTTTATAGACTCCCCTCTGCCTGTTGCTCTGTCTCCATCTAGCAAAGTCTTACTGTGAGTCTGAAGGCAGAGTGGAGCGGAAGCTGCTGTGATATCTGGTGCAGTCTCCTCAGCCCATGAAATGCCCTAATAGGAGCTAACAGTGGCAGCCTTTACCCAGGCACATTCCTTTTCATGGCTGCAGTTGAACAGTCACAAAGGCTTCACATGTCAATATTTGAGTGCAAGCAGAGTGGGGTCTGAGGAATTCACTACATGTCAACCATGCCATTCAGCCTGTCCCATATGGGGAAGTAAATAGGTTACTACTAGCAAAAGACTTTGTACTTTGTAGCAGTCTATTTGCATCCAAAGAAGGCCTTGTACCAATATACCTAATTCCCCTGTTAACATTACCACTGCCGGTCCTTGTTACCCAATTTCCAAGCCCTGCAGGCAAAATGTCATGGCCCTGTGCGCCAGATCTGGCCAGCACAGTGGACATTTATACAAATACATTTGTTTGCTCTGATGCACCAGAGATTGAGCACGTTGGAGCAGACTCGATTAATTGAAGCTGCTCCACACACAAGCTGACGTGCCTGGCCCTGCATCACATACATTTGTATAAATAGTGAAATGTGTGTGAGCACTGAGAAAATGGCAGTGGTGTGCTTTTGAACTAAAACACCTTTGATGTGTTTTAGTTCAAAAGTGCACCACTGTCATTTTCTCAGGTCTTACGCACATTTTGCTGCTTATATAAATACATGTGCCACAGTGCTGGGCGCTTTTTAAAAGCACCTGGCACTGCAGCACAAGCATGTGTACAAGTGCCCAGTGGTACTAATTTCACATGCACAGGGATGGAGCAGCAGGTTTGATCTGGTAAACAAGAGGCTGGGCTGGGCCTGAGGCCATAGGCCTGATCTGGTGTGGGCGGGGCTGGGACTGGGGCCAGAACTAGGATGGTGGGCTAGATCTGGCATGTGGGGCCAGGACCAAATCCAGTGCATGTTGGATTGGACCCATGGACTGTATCTGGCCTGTGGACGGGCCCAGCACTACTCACCTGGGCTACAGGGCTGAAAGTTTGGGTACCACTGCATTAAAAGTTTACAGTCCCAACTGAAATAGCTGTAAGAGCACAATTTCAAAGTGTAGATTAGGTTCCCTATGGTGTGATTTTAGCTTGTAGGCTTGTCCAAACTAGCTCATGTGGATATCAATAACAGTCTAGCCCCAAGAGCACAGGATTCTTTTATGAGATGTTTCATTCAGCATCCCATAATGCCTCTAATCTCAATGCTCCCCAGCTAGATGCTAGCTTTCCTAATGACCTGGGAAGGCACATGAGCCTTGCAGCATACCCTGAAGATCAACAAATTCAGGTTCTTTGAGAGTAGGAAAGGGGGGATGAATTCCATAAGGAGAATGCCCAGGTAGCAGTCCTCTTTCTGCGTTTTGCTGAGGGGAGTCCAGCTGTGTCTCTGCCAATCTCAGTTGCCATAGAATGGATGAGCAAAAGGCCATTGAAGGGTTTAATACAGTCCTACTCCAAAGAGAGCTGGCACTACTACACATTACAGAGCCCCTAACTCACTCGCCAATTAACTAAGCAGGAGGAAGAAAGACTTTTCCACTCATCACAGTACCCAAATGATTTTAATAATTTTCTCTGGAGATTGAAATTAAATGTGGGAACTATTTTTTTATGAAAAATGAACAAACAAATTACAGTACCTCTGCCCCATTCCCAAATAAACCAGCATCACCACAGGTTTTCTCAGCGTCTGCTTTAGCTTTAAAGACATACAATCATTGCTGGCAACGTTTAATGATAGAGAAAATGAGTCCATATGTTACAGTAGAAATTGTTTGCTGAATGCTTGATGTACAAAAATAATGGAAGGGGAAACTTCTGAATGTTTGCTAAAGCAAGTGAAACCAAAATGACTTTTTCCTTCTTACTTACAGATTCCAGGAAGAATGGACTAGAGACATCACAGTTTCTGCTCATTACAGAGAAAATGACCATCAGCCTAAGTTCAACAAAAGTGCACCCACTAAAATATTAGTAACAGGACATAAGACTGCAGTACCTACAGTGAAGACAATCCATATTGTTGAAGTCTATGGACATGATAAGGAAATTTATAAAAATCCTAATTCACATTTACCTGGATAGCCAATATCAGAAACATAGCAAATTATTTGTTGGACCAAAATGAAATAAGTATAGAAATATGTGCCTTAAAGACTACATAGAAAACTACTTAATTATTCATATGAATCTGAACATTTTATATATCTAAAGATTGTTATTGAAAAAAATGCTTCCAGGTTTAATATCAGTAAAATAATGAATGTTGACATAAGTAGCCATTCTCTACAATGTGCTAAATATTGTGATCATGGCAAAAACATATCATTCTCCTGTTCATACAGTAGAAAGAAATGGCAACAGTTTATATATTTGATTCATTCAGTCATAACAACTGCATATTCACATGACTGTAACCTTATTTTAACCTGTGTTCTTTTTGTAAATATGTCAGAAAAAAAACAAACCCATATTTTTGCACACCAGTATGACAAAATTACAATAAAGATGTCTTTTTAATTAAAGACATTGCCATTTTATTGAAGAGTGGCCTTGCTATTTAATTCTTCCATGTTATTTTCATGCATGATTTCTCTGTTCCTGATTAGAAAAAGTTTGTGTAGGTTACAGCATTGAACATGAGGACAAAAGCATGTGTTGCAGGAGAGA